TAAGTCACACATGTATAAATACTGAATAGTTTCTCTGGTTTGAAAAACTATAATAGTACATAAGATCCTGATGAGATAATTGACAATGTGAAATAGGAAGACAAGGGCTAAAGGTGTAGGGAAAGTAGGAAGGGTAAGGGAAAGATAATAAGGGAAAAGAAAAAAATCTGATAAAATGAAAAAAATGGAAATAAAGTGTTTGTAAATGGGGAGGGGAGGCGTGGGTGAAGGGAGGGCAGGGACAAGGGGAAAAAATGAGAACCAAGACCTGTCATGTAAAGGTACAAGATCCCAATGATGAATGTAACTGTACTGTATACCTAAAATGTACCAATAAATTCAATAAAAAACTGTAGTTTAATTTAGGATGTTTTATACATTAAGGCAGGTTTTCAGGGACTAGTCAAAGAAATAAAAAAAATATGTGAAGTAGTCAAAAATTTCTTCATTAGGATAAAAAAGCATTAAGCATAAAATAACCATATTAATACTTTGGATTTCGTTATTTGAAGAAACTCTTCATAATAGACATCATTTTGAAGTGAGAAAACAAATCACATACTGGGAATAAATATTTTCAAAACAAAGATCTGAAAAAATAGCTTTGGGTAAAGAACTACTACAACATAAAGCTAAAATATTAAAAATGCACTTAAAAAGGAGAAAATACTTGAGCAAGAATTTCTAAGAGGACAAAAGTGGCCAAAAGCATATGAAATCAGCGACACCATGGGGCAAAAAGTGTAACCTCAAACACTCAAGAAAAGGAACAGCTTCTCCATTAGTCAAAATTGTGTCAAGTAAGTGTAACCCGAAGAAGGACACTTAAATTAGGTGGCAAATGTTTGATCTCATGATGTATTTGTGCACAAGTGCCAGACAGATCTTGGCACTAACCCTCAGCATCTTGCCTTAAACAGCAAACTAACTCAAGTCCTGACACGATGAGTCACCTTGGAAGCTTCTACGGAGGCTGGGCTAGGGTTATGGAGGGTTTGGTGGGCTGCGCTATGGCTATGACTGTCCATCCGGCAGCTTCCACAGGCTGGGCTCTGGTTCTGGCTGTGGCTGTATCTATCAAGGGTATGGATGTGGCTGCTGCCATCCACTACGCTCTGGAGGATGCAGATTCTCTGGATTCTGCTGAATCGTCACCCCAAATCCAGCATCTGAAATCATAAGGAACCTTTCCAATGCCAGATTCATTCACGGGAGAATCTAGATCACACAGTTTGTCAATTTATAGCCATAGCTCTGTCAGAATTCTGGTATCTTCCAATTTGCTTCTAAATGATTGGGTTATATGTTCAATAAAGCATTCCTATTTTAAAGCAAAATACCTATTTTTAACATTTAGTGTGCGAAGCTTAACTGTGGATAAGTGGTGATGGGTACATTCTCTTTCATTGTTAATAAGGAAAGCTGTCATCTTGGCTGCAAACTCTTATTTTATTTTCATATGCAAATATGCATGCAGATACTTAGTAGCTTCAAAGATTAAAATAGGAGAGCATCATAAAATTGACAGTTTGATACCTTTCTGTTTCTTGCTTTCTTAGATATAGATTTAGTTCAACAACAAAATGCTGTTATCAACTAGACATCCATTTACATTTGTAAATCAGATATGTGTTTTATTTAGTCCAGGTCACATTTCTCAATTCAACCCAAAAGCTTAATGAAATTTCTAAACAAATTTTTTTAAAAATTTTCAGAGCAAGGAAATGTAAGTCAGACCACATCAACAGACAGATTATGAAATAAACTACATTCCCAGTAATTTTTATATTTGTATAATCTCATCCTATAATATTCTTGTGTCTATGATTTCACTTGACTTAAGCAGTTGGTCTATACATTATAAAAGAATTTAGCTAATTTTTTTCCATATGAAGTTTATTTATAACATTTATAGTTAATTTCTTTATTTCATTACTTAATCTACCTGGAAGAAAGTGATGTTCTGTTTTATCATCATCATCACCACCATCTTGATGATTTTTCAATCTAATAAGGGAAATAAACACAAATCTCTATTGTGAACTAATTTATATTTTACCTTCAGCTGATGACAAACATCATTAAATCCAAAAAGCTTTCTCATACGGGTTAATTTTAGTTAAACTACTCCCATCATGAAAATAGGGAAGATGGGGCATTTTATAAGTATTATTAGAAAAAAAAGACAAAATCAATATTGGCATTCTTCCTAAAAGCAAATGCTATAGTCAAGTAATGGCATAAATTTTAGATTTTTTTGGTCTAAATTGATCAAAATAGTTAATATGTTTGATTCAGTCACACTGGAGCACTCAAAGCTGTTGAAATAGAGCAGATGTTAAATGGCAGCCTGCAGTTCCCCTGACCATGTAGGTTAAACAAAGAAGGCAAAAGAACTCCGAAAATCATGTGAGTTTCAATGACAGATTCAGGGCCAGGATCCAGGTGCCATGATGCAGTTTCCTTGTTGTCTGTTCTCCCTCCATGCTACCAGGTAGAGCATCTCGAAGGTGTCTGCTCTGTTTCATTCACACTAATAGATCCCAAGTCAAGAGGCTTACTCTGTGAGCCCAATTTAAAGTCACCACCACCACTGCTAGACTGAGAAACATGGTGCATAATACTCCTGGTGAAATATTTTATCATTGCATTATGTGCTATTTTAAATTTAATAAAAGGTTATCTTAGTGAAGGAAAAAGATTTTGAATTTATAGAAAATGTTCTTAGTCTCCAAATAAAAGGTGACTTTTGGCCAATGAAAGACTATATTTTTATCATCTCACATATCCTAATGCAGAATCTGAGGTCACAAAAATTCATTTTCTTGGACACATCTGCAAAGAAGAGAATAACAAACAATTACTAGTCTTTGAGTCCGCTGAATTAAGAAATAAAGTCAAAATAAATTTGCATCTCTCACCTCCCAAAAGCAATCAGTAGCCAAAGGATAGTATCATCATTGTATTTTTTGCCAATGTGGAAAAAACAATAAAAATATTTGGATGTTTTGATGCATATATTTTATAACACTATTTCACAATTTGTTCGTAACCAAGTATGTTATATATGTCTATCAAAGTGAGAACTATATTGTGGCATATATATCACTATTTTCTCTGGAAAATACAAAATAAATCCAGGTATATTTTATTGCTGTGCTTTGTTTTTAACTTGTAAAATTTATTTCAAGCATACACAGCTACATGCACTAGAAACAATGATATAAATTAGCCCCTAGTCATTTTCACACAATCTAGCATATCTACCAAAGCAATCATGACATTCTCCAACTTGATAGATATATTATGTTCTGTTGCTTGGCTCCAAAAGGGCTCATTGAAAGCAAACAAAAAAATCCCAACAGTTTTCTTTTCCAGAATAAAAAATAAATATGGAATAAAGTTTTGATAAAACAGAAAAAGGAAGTTAACAGCCAAGATAAGATTGAGTTAAATATCCCTTAAAAACTTGTAAAGCATTTGGGGTCAGTATTCTAGTTTAGAGACACCACACATGTGCCAGGAAGAATTCATTTCTTTCATTTGTCCAGTGAAAGTATTTTCCTCCCTTTTGAAGAATAATAAACAAATACAGTTGAGAAAATGTATTATCCAGAATATCACTTATATAACTAAAAAAATCAACAAAAATACAACTACAAAAATATTCTCAGCTACACGTTTGAAGTCATGTAAGTGTACTGCTTAAAGACCAAAGCCCAATATCCAATCCTATTCCCCTGAGACTTCAGCTTTGGTTTGATTTCTTCTCTTTGGAGCTTGAACTGAGGAAATCTGGGAAGGTGCGATTGCACCCCTCACATTCTTTTTTTCCTTTCCCTGTATCTAAACTCTGTGATTAATATTTGGAGATTTTCAAGATATCTGGACCTAAGGACCCTGTTAAAAATAGCACATGACCTTAAGAATACAGAAAAACATTGCTTAAAACTTTGAAATATTAATAAGTAAGGTATGTCTTATGGAAAAATATTAGTTGCTTACCAGAGAGAAAATAAAGGTGAATTGGAAAGTAAAATAAAAAGCTGAATATTATGATCAAATTAGTTATATAAATGTGTGATGTGAATAAATGAATATGGACAAAATACTTAGCTTGTGCTAATACATGTCAGGAATTAATAATGAATAAAAAGGAAATTAAGGCTTCATAAGGAAAATGGAAAAAAAGTCGCATGTGAAGAGATGAAACTAAGATGATCTGCTTCTTTTAGATAATACTTTGGGTAAACCATTTTGGAAATGAGAATTCAGTAATGATTTAAAGAGATTATTTTTGAACAGCTGTTCAGGTTAATTATAAAATTGAGTTTATTTTTTTTGGATAGTCTCTTAATTTAATATAAATTTTAGTATGCCGATAAGCCCCCAAAAAAGTTTTAGAAGGTGATGGATAAAATCAAAATAGTTTATCATACCTAAGTATTTTATACATTACTTTGTATGTATCAACAAGGATCAGTTTATCTATTCAAAATAATAATTTCCCTTTAAAGGAAGGTGTATCTTTGACTTTTCAATCTGAAAATAAATTTGAATTTGAAGGATTCTAATAGTGATTATTTATTGAATTTAGAGGCGTTAGATGTACAAACCTAAAGAATGATGTGAAAATGAAGAAACATGAGTGATGCAATGTTTGGTAAAGAAGAATTCTGTTTAAGGGATTTATAATTTGCTAACTTTGAAGACACACTTTTACTCATTTAAAAAAAAAAGAATGCAATGAATCCAAAGGCATTCTAACTAAGTAGTGAAGCAAGCTAAAACATTTTAATGAGCTAGGTGCCCCTCCTTCTAATGTTACCAAACAGATTAATGAGCTGGCTCTAGTAAACCATTAAGTTGGAATGATACAAAACCAACAATGGCTACAGTTGTTATCACATGCTCTATCCAGGGTATGTAAGCATCCCTCGACATTAACTGGTACGCACACTCGTCTGGAACAGGGAACCAAACTCACCACCTCTGACACCATGAGCTACTACAGCAGCTACTACGGAGGCCTGGGCTACGGCTACGGAGGGTTCGGTGCCTGGGGCTATGGCTGCGGCTGTGGATGTGGCAGCTTGGGCAGACTGGGCTGGGGCAGGGGCTATGGCAGCTATGGCGACTATTGATTCAGCTCTGGCTTTGGAAAGTACGGATACAGCTGCTGCCGCCCATTGTACTATGGAGGATGTGGATTCTCCAGAATTTATTGCGATCCCGCTTTAGTGCCTCTACATTGTTATCTTGAGTGGATTTGCTAAGATATTCTTCAGTCAATGGACTGAGATCACTGTATACCTATGGAGCATGTGTGAAATCTAAAACATTCAGAGATTTCATTATTTATAAACAACAAATTTGGATCTGCTGCTTAAGAACTACTGGCTGGTTTGAATTCATTGCTCAATAAATGATTTAAAATGAAGCTAAAAATATGGCTATTGTTTGATTCATTGAATTCAATATGCACGCATACTTAGATGAAAGTTTTACTGTTGGCATGTAGAAATACAATACTTATGAATCTACATGCATATAAACGTGTGTTTGTCTACATACAAATAGATATATGGTAAATGATCCAAGCATACATAAGGACATGCTAATTATCTTGATTTAGTCAATAAATATATTGAAATATCATACGGTGCATCATAATTATGTGTCTTGTCATAATTATTACATTATATATTTTTATTTTTTCTATATTGACTTTATACATATTTGTAATACATAATATTTGTATTGGCTTTGGGGATCTGGTATAAATGTTATTCTACCTTAATCTTTCAATTCTCCTTCCTCCCTCTTCCTCTAGACTCCCTTCCTCAACTCCGAAAGCCCCGCTCCCCTGATTCCTACATCTCTCCTGTAATTTATTTATACTTCGAGTTTCTCATATGAAAGAAACCATGTGATATTTAACTTTTTGTGTCTGACTTATTTCATTTAACGTTACGGATTCAAGACCCATCCATTTTCCTGCAAATGACATGAATTCACTTTCTTTATGGCTGAATAAAATTCCATTGTATAATTTAAATCATTTTTACTCTTAAGAGGGAATGGAACAAGTCAGTTTGTAGCTTATCTGCTCCTGAATGTAAGTAACCAATGAACAATGTTAAAATTCAACTTTTGCTTTAAAACTGAAAAACTCATTATATGACCTCTTCTTGTAAGAAGAGGTTGTGTGTGCTGCCTTAGTGGTCTGAGCAGAGAAACTAAGCAACTCCACTGAAGGTCAAATTATATTCTCTAACACAGGAAAGCAGGGTTTCACTGGAAGCATTTTCTTTTGATTTAGGTAGCATCTTCAGGGACAGTCTCCAAGGAGCTGAAAAGTAGTAATCAATGTAATTATTACTGAAGTTGACATTTTTTGTGTTATGACTAGTATCATAATTTTATTCTCTAAGGTTGCATTAATCTATGTCTAACTTGTGAGAAAATGTTCTGAATTCATAACATAAGTTTTACTCTACAGAAAGTGTGAAAATATATTTTACCCTTCCATTCATCAATATGAGTAGAAACTTAGGTTATGAGTTAAAACTTCTAAAAAAGTAGTAATGGTACAAATGTGATTTTGATCCAGTGAATGAAAAGAAAAATACTAGTCCCTCAAAGATTCCAATGAAACTTTGTACATACATGAAAAAGTGGACATATTCTTCTTTTTTCAGCTAAGAAATAACGTGCACTTCATAGTCATGAATTTTCTTGTTTAAAATAGATTTATGTTTATTTTGTTATTGAAGTTTTTCATTTGTATCTCATACTATTTCCATACAGATAGATATTTTTAAGCACCAAAACCCAAAAAAAACCACCAATCATACCCAAAAGCACTGGCAAAACTACACAAGATTGTGAAATACTTAAATATGTAATTTGTGTATATTTCTTGATGATTTGTTGAAAATAAAAATGCTCATTTTGTGAACAGACTTATGAAAAGGCAAATAAAAATGGAATCAACTTTGGTTAGAGTAGCACAGACAAAAAAATGTAGACCAATGTTGGATTAAATGTTACCATGGTACCAGAAATCTTATTGAAACTCATATCTAACAGTTAAATGTTTCCTATACAGCCATTAAGGTACTCGCATAATTCTACATGTGTCTCTTTAAAAAATATCAATTAAAATAATAAAATTCATTAAAAATATTTTGAGTGCTAAATAAATGCTAGGTTTTGTTTTGAAATTAGGTCAGCTTAATGAATAAACCCATTGGAGGGGAAATGTGTCATCCAAATATTGTTCATAAAAGTCCACAAAGCTAAGTAGCAATCATGTAAAATAACTAAGTTTTATGAGTCTCAGGGTTCAAGACTGGATCAGATCTGGGCCAAGCTTAATCAAATATGACATCAGACCTGGGTAGGGTTTCTGGGCTGAGCTGAGGGACACCATGAACACCATTCCAACACCTGTTCCCAAGAAATGTTTCTTTATTCTTTTTTTCAAGTGTGCCTCATATGCCTGGAATTCTCTTATATTGTTTTAAGGTGCACAAATCTTTTCAAAAATTTCAGATGATATTGAGCATTGAGATATACTTGAAATGAGAAAGCACATCATCAGTACCTTAGAAAATTCTAGTCGATATTGCTGAACAGATTAGTTAGAAATTGCCTGAACCCCAACAGGTGCGCAGAATAGGCAAAGTAAATGTACAAAGGAGAATGTGTTATGCTGATGATGGAGAGAGACATGGAACGAACGTGGTGTGGATCTGAGTAAGTTGTAGCCGAAACTGTTCTACCTGCCTTACACCTTCACCTGAATACAACAATAAGAGTAGAGGAAAGGGAACAGGGGCGACACTGAATTTGAGATGTGAAAAATTTGACTAATGTTTTACAAAAATGGAGAAAGACACAACAACGGACAGAGCAGGTCTGATCTGAACTTGGGGAAGCACTGAGGCTACAACTAACTCACCATGGGGAAAGGAAAGAATTCTGGCAGGATTTCCCATTAGGTGGCAACTTCTATCTCCATTAGTCTTTCCACGGGTGATTGCAGTTGCTCTGAGCTGTTAAACCAAAAGCAAAATTTTGCTTGCTGATATGTAAAGCCAAATATAAAAATAACAATTATGCACAAAGTCCTAAAACTCTAGAAATAGGGTGTAATTTTGCTTTTTGTCTCTGATCTATATCTCTGATGAGTCAAATTTTTCATGCAACTCGTGATATTAAATATGTAAGTCTTTCAAATATTGATAAAATTGTCTTAATTTTGACTACTTTTCAAAATTAGAACCAATTAGAGCAACGCTCCCACTGAATGCTTGAGATCATATTCAATTTTGCATTTAAAAATATTTAATATGAATGATATCAACTGACTACTGAGAAAGAATTCTACATAGGTCGTGGGGTGTGTGCGGGACTTGGAGTGTGTAGCAGTTCCTTCTAACAGAATTAAAGCAATGATCTCAAAGAGAGCCTCACTAAATAGCCAGGCAAGTTCAGAGACTGTGAATATGTTTGTCATGTGACGACTGAAGCATGAGTTGTCTCAGGTAAGAGTAATTTAAGGCATAACATTAAAAGGAGAGGCTTGTGTTTTATCACATTCTCTGACCTGCTTATATAAGCTTCCTCGTAAAGACATTGATAAGTGATACTCCCTGTGCATCTTCATTAGAACAGCAAACTAAACTCACTACCCCTGACACCTTGAGACACAGAGGCCAGGGCTACGGCTACGGAGGCTTCGGTGGCCCGGGCTATGGCTGCGGCTGTGAATGCAGCAACTTCGGCAGACTGGGCTGGGGCAGGGGCTGCGGCGTCTATGACGGCTATGGATTGTCTCTGGCTTTGCAAACTACAGATACGGCCGCCCATCCTACTTTGGAGGATATGGATTCTCTGGATTCTACTAAACGAATTGCTCGCGAGAAGCAGAGAAGAAACTTCCAAATACATCTGGTTCTAGACTTTGTTTTTATTCCAGAATCACCCTTTTTTCCTAGCATTTATTGATCGATATTTATCAGTATTTAAGATGAGTCGATGCGGAGTTGCTCTATTTTCCTCTCCAGCACCAATCATATGCAAGACTATTTCAGGCAGCTAAGTTAGATGGGAATTAATATACAGTCAGAGAGGGACTGGGTCCTTAAGGAATTCATCACAAAAAGTAAAGACATCAAAATTGTGGCTGGAGGTGAATCTGAAGAACACCAGACCTCAAGATGAAGATGCAATGTCCAGGTCTACATGTCTCCCCGAGGGATGAATAGTAATTTGAGATTTTACTGTAATCAGAACTTCTGGGCCCATCCCTTCTGAAAAAATGCCTTTGTTATTTCCATGTGTAGGGAACAGGGAAAGAGGACATTACTAGAACTTTTGCAGTGAGTCCTAGTCTCTTGGGAGCCACGACAGCACAAGGCAAATTAATTAGTTAGAAAAGATTAAAAAAATAAGACTTAGCTTTGATCCTGATCGTTGCTGCTCTGGGCGGCGAGGAGGAAAGATCCCAAGCTTGCTACATCTTTATTCGGTACATCAGGAGTAACAAATGTAGCAGGTGACACAGGGGACAGTGGTAGTGAAAATCCTCAAACAAGGAGGAATTGAGCAGATGAAGATTTTGTTCCTCCCCAGAATGTCTTCAGCTGGTGTAATCTTGCCCTGGGGCATCACAGCATCACCAGACCACTGAGGCTTTAGCTGTGTCTAGAAGTGAAAAGGGAGTTGTCTCCACGTACTGCAGCTGGGCTGTAGGCAGGAAAACTGGGCCTAATCATAATTTTAACTGTGATATGGTTTTCCCCAAAATTATGTAGAATTGCTCCCAATACACATGTCCCTTATTGGATCAATATTAGCTTTGTTATTTCCATTTACGCCTTACTGGATCAATATTTGCAAAGCGGCTATATTTTTAATTGCATAGATTGATTGTAATTAGACCTATGTGCTATACGCTTTGTACTTTGCTGTTTAAACTATTCCTGACAAAGGGCCTTGGTGGCCACCCACTCAGGATCTCTCCTGGAAATCCAGGAGCTATGCTTCTTGCCTTCAGTTCCAGTAAAACTATCCTAACTTCTTCCTTTGGTTTCAGAGTTCATTCCTTGTTACTGTGGGGCTGTGAACTTGGCATATCTGACATCTAACAGGTCAGCAGTTATATTGCTCCTGTGTCAAGACCATAACAGTTGCTCTCATTTTGGTTTATTTTTTTCTTACCACCATTATGAGGGTATTATCTGTTAAGCAAGATAATAGAGAACTATTTGTATTTTTATCTAATAAATAGACCACTTAAATATAAATATTTGGCTCTCTTCGATGGTTTCATTTTTATTATTCAATGTCCGCTTTGCAACTCATATGAAAAATTGCTTATAAAGTAATGATGTCTGTGGCTACAAGATACAATGTGATAAAAGTGTTTCTAATTTGCGGTGAGACACAAGCCTAAGAAGTATAGGGTGTCACATTAACAATAACCACAAGTAACTGGTTTCCATTTACTCCAACAGTGTATCAGCTCTCTCATATATCTCCGAGTGTCCCTAAAATTAGTAGGAAGAGTGCCATGTTCACGTATTCTGTGGAATACAGCTGCTGCGACGGGTTGATGAGCTAGGTAGAAATATTATAGGCAGAGAGATAGGGGTAGGTCCTTGACAGGGTTAGAATAAAGGTGAAACACAGCACAGCTGCACTGGACACACATCAGCTGAAAACCGGGCCTCAAGATAAACACAAGTGGACCACCAGACCTGCATACTTCCTCTAAGAACAAACATTGGGCCTAATGGAGTCTAGAGGGACACCAACCACCCCAGTGGGTGACCAGAGACCTCTGGACCCACCATCACTTCCTAGAAGAATCTTTATTCTTTCCATCCACGCTCATTTCATGACTTATTCCCCAGTTGGACCACCATTACCTAACTGACTATATTTGTAACCTTATCGGATGTTCATGGATGTGGGTTTCACCCTATAAAACTTCTCTGCAAAGTGCGATTCCCCCCGCTACCAACTCAGTACCCCTTCTGCCCCTCAGGAGCTCTCCTGTCAATAAATATCTTCTATTTTTAACTTCCCTTGTTCGTAGGATTCATTTATTGATTTCTAGAGAACAAGAACTCAGTATATCATACAATTAACAGGTTGGGAGATAATAATATTTCATATTTCATCTCCGGTGTTATTTCCTGTACCACTTCTTGTTACGCATCTTAGTAATGCTGTCTGGCTTTTGTTTTTCTCCAGTCTTCATTTTGGTGGAATGGTGTACACTGAGAAATATTACTTATTTTGGGGAAAAGAATCGTGAGGGGGCACTGTCCATTATAAAGCTGATTTACTTGCCATGATTGTAAAGCAAGAGAATCAAATGTTATAGAGTACTATGAAAAATTGGGAACACTGTGGGTCTTTCTGATTTTGGTAGACCTTTTCACAAATAGATGATAACACAAGGTGAAACACTGCTAACACAAAAAATGCTTTACTAATTCCTGAGAGCCCCTCTTGCCTGTTAGTTATGACCCCGTTACTTAGTGAAAGTCAAAAATTCGGGCTTTTTGTGTCCATAGGATATTTTCCCTCACAGAAAATTCCCTTCCCTGCTTCTTCCTAAGCATATATATTTTAGGCTGTTCCACAAATTTTCTACTCCTGGTCAGGCACCCAGGAAACTCAGTAATGAAGCGCAGATTGAATCCCTGCTAGTAAAGTTCTTTGCTAACTTTTAAAGTGGCCAGAAAAGCCTGTTCCTCAAGTTTGTCAGACATGACCAGACATGTCTGAACCCACTGAAATTCAAATTTAGACCCCCAGTACTTATTACTTATTTCTGAGAGACTCTTTTGAACCTTTTATAAACTTGCAGGAGGAAAATTACTATGTGTATGATTTCTCCTAGAAAAGTTAACATAGCTTTAATTTCAAATCAGAAAACCCAACAAAGGAAAGAAGGAAGAAAGGGAGGAAAAAGAAAGCAGGGATGAATGAAGGAACAAAATAGGAAGGAAGACAAAGAAATAATTCATTGTTTAACAGCCTAATATTTTACACATAGAATGGCTTCCATGTGTTTGTGAAGATGAAATGTGAAAAAGTAGTAACACATTCCCAGATGCTGTTAAACTGGAAGGCATAGATTCAAACCCTCTCCTATAGAAACCCTTTATAACTGCAATTAGTTTTCTAGTGAAGTTCTGAAATCTAAACCTTAGTATGTTTTAAATCTCTTCCTTAGTTATTCCGTAGTTATTTTATGCTGTATCCAAAAGGAGACTATAATGATTCTTGTATATTAATATCTATAATTATACTTTTATATGTTATACACTTTTAATTTTCAATTTTTCATTTTCACTCTAAAATTTAATGATATATAAACTATTTACACATTTATATTTGCTCTCTTAGAAATACAGTTATATACAAAGCTGTCCTTGATAGCATTTTAAAAATGGTGAGTGCCTTTAAAGAGCCATATCTGTATATATATATAATATATGATTATTACATTTAATTTTCTCCAGACAGATACCACATTGACTAAGGATGATCTTGTATACCCCAAACTTTAGATTTAAATACTAGTCTTCTTTGAAAGCCATTTTTATTTCTGATGTTACCTTCCCAGAGAGTATTAAATTTTATTTGTATCCAAATAAAATTAGTGCTACTCCTGAATGCCATAGATTTTAGAAGCATATTGGTTAGGTTGTCAAAACAGAAACACAAAAACCATTTCTAAATTCTAATCATTAAGCAATGCTTCTGATTGAACTGAGCTTCTGTTTATGTCTACTAGACAAATAAAAATTTGAACATACATTTTTTCTGAATGCAAGTAAGTAGAACCTCTCTGGATGAAAAAATGTCTTACATTAGAAGAAAGCATAGTAATGTAAATATTTCCCAAGAAAGTCAGTAAAGAGTGATTCTATAATATAGAATCCATGATTAATGTTAAGGGATCAGAGGATGAATAATGTGAAACATGCACATGAAAAGAAAAATTTAATTGTAAATGGGGATGGCAGGAGGGGGTGAAGGGAGAGCAGGGACAAGGGGAGAAAATGAGAACCAAGACCTGTCATGTAAAGGTACGAGATCCCAGTGATGAATACTGTATACCTAAAATGTACCAATAAACTCAATGAGAGAGAAAAAAAAGAAAAATTTCAAATCTCAATTGAAAAAGGTTTTATAAACATAAATATTTATGACTTTTTAATTGCCTTAAATTTGGCCACAGGAAATCATTTCATCTTTGGAAAAACTCCTTAATCAATGTTCTATTAATGTGAACAATGAGTTTAATGAATATTTAAATACTGATGTATATAGAACACAAGCTTAAGTTACCTGATCAGTTTTGTAAATCTGAATAAAATATAATGAATATAACTACTGGACTCTGAAATTTGGGGACTAGTTTGAAGCAATGGATCTACCTACATCTCTAGCTATAAATTTAGAGATTTTTCAGACTATTGTTATATATTTGGTCATGTTTATGCCATGTACCTTCCTATGTATTATAGAGATTCCATATTTTATGTAGCTCAATAATAGCACTGTGATCCATGCAACTACTCAGGTCAAAATATAGGAGGTTTATCGTATCTTTTCATCCCTGTACTCAAGGTAACTGTTTGTATACTTCCTTAATACTCCATTTCTTTTTTTTTCTAGTATATCTATTTATTTCCTTTCATTTTTTTCCTTTTCCTAATGTCATACTCATTGCCACTGGTCTGTCTATTTTCTTATACTCCAACCTGATCTCCTGAAATCAAAACTTGCCATGTTTTTTAGTCTGTTAAAAATTATTTGTTTAAAATAGCTCTTTATATATTCTATGGGATGACACCTAATGTTGTGTCATAATGCAGCTCTC